AGCCGCCGCGCCGCGCCCCGGGCTGCCGCGAAGACGCGCGGACACCAAACGCCAAGCCCGGGCTGAGAGGCGCCCCCCGAGCCCGCCCCGGGCCGGCCCCAGAAGCGCGCGGGCGGCCTGAGAGCGCGGGCGCCGGGGCGGGGGCGGCCGGAGGGCCTGGGGGGGCGCGGGGCGGGCGCGGGGGGCGCCGCCGAGGCCGAAGCAGCCCAAACGCGAAGCGAGCGGGGGACGCCAGGCCCCGACTCCAGCCGCGCCCCAGCCAGCCCCGCCGCGCTGACTCTCCAGGTTCATCGTGGGCGCGTTCAGATGCTAAAGCAGAAGGGGCCCCCAAATGACCCGCGCCCCCGCGCAGTCTGAGCTGCGGCGCGCCCAGCCGGTCGCGCTCTGCTCGCCGGGCCGCTGCTCCGGTTCCTGCCGCGGCGCCTCCGGCCCGACCGCCCCGGCGCCAGCCCGGCCCTGGGCGCCGCGCCCCGCAGCCCGGCCCGACACCCTAAAGCCGCCTCTGAAGGGGGAGCCGGATCACTCGTTTCTGTTTAGCAGAGAATCCCTGCAGCGCCGCTACTTTCGTGATTAAAAAACCAGCAAGCGGCCCTCGCTGGCCACCAGGGCTTAGACGCAGCCCGCGGAGCTGCCGCAGCCTCTGCTGCGCGAGTCCCTCCCGGCCAGGGAGCTGCCCACGGGGCGCGCAGACCCTCCCGCCTCCCCGCTGCTCCCCTCGGCAGTGGGTGTCAGTCCGTCTGCCTGTTCTGCTCCCCGCTCTGTCTCTGGGGAGCCCTCTCGCCCGCCCCCACGCCCCACCCGCACCTCCGGCCTGCACCCCAGCTCTTGTGTGCACAAATAAATAAATCTTTTTTAAAAATCAGCAAGTGGTCGCAGAGGCTTCTGCGCGGAAGCCAGGAGCAGGCCAGCTGGGGGGGGGGGACACACTGAGGCTGCCCCTTCCCAGGGCTCTTGCCGCCACCGCCAGGGTCCCCATCCAGGCAGAGTCACAGCTCGCGCTGCAGAGACGGCGCCCGGCCTTCCAGCCCACCTCTCCTTTCCTGCGTGGGCAGCTGGGCTTTGCAGCCAGTTGGGGGATGAGCACCTTGGGGATCTGGCTTGCAGGAGGCTGGGACCCCAGTTTTCAGCAGGACCTCTCCGCAGGCAGGCGGCTTGCTGGATGCCTGCGCTGCCTGCCAGAAGGCCAGAGAGGCCAAAGGGGACCCTCCAGAAGATCCTGGAGTCGGGAAGGGAGCCACACACTGAGCAGTATTGGGACTTGCAGGAGTGCGGCCCCCAGCCAGGAGGAGGAAGGGGAGCTGAGGGCCCTTGGGAGCCTGGCGGCTTCTCAGCGTCCCTGCCCGTATCTGCCCTCTGGGGCCTCGGTTTCTCTTTGGAGAACCGCCAGAGGGTCCACGCAGGCACCCGAGAGCTGACTGGGAGAGAGAGACAGGGAAGCCTGCCGGCCTCTGCGCCCCTCTGCTGTGCCTGCCTGGCAGCTCCTCACCCCTTTTACTCCGACCCAAGTGGGGCCCTTTCTGGGTGGCCCAGAGCCAAAGGTTTGGGAAACCTGATCCCCAAGAAGCCAGACCTGGCTGGGGAGGGGAGGGCTGGAGGCCACTGCTCCGCCTTAACCTGTTCCTGATGACAAGGCTCAGGTGGGTGGGAGAAGGTCTGGGGCCGCCCCAGGTGCAGAGTGGGGGACTGGGAAGCCTTAGATGGGAAAGCTCCTGGTGCAGGAGGCCTCCCCAAGGCTTTGGGTGAGTGGCGGGGGTGAAGCCCAGGTAAGTCTGCACTTCGGGCAGGGCCTGCAGGGGCCAAGGGTGGGGCGGGGCAGGGCAGCCACCAGAGGGATGGGCAGCCCTGGTCTCCAACGTCAGCCTGGCTCCCTCTGGGGCATAAACTGGGCTGGGGACCCTTAGCAGTGCCCTCGACCCCAGGGCCTTGCTCAGATCAGAGAGGACCGCTTGCAGGTCCCAGACCCCTGGCCCTCTCCCGGGGCCTTGCTCTAGGCCTTTGGAGCGGGGCTGCGCTGGGTCGGGCTCTGCAACCTTAAGCCCTGGGTGGCTTGAATGGTGCCTCATAGAGGGAGGGTGGGCTTGGAGGGGTTCTGAGGGGGACACATCAAAGCCATTCATCTCTGCCAGGAGGCCTGAGGCTCCCTGGAGGACAGCTGGAGCTGGAGGCCGGGTGTATGCCCAGCCTGGTCCCGTGCGCCCTCTGGGGCTCCTGGGCTGGGGTCACGCACACACTTCTCCGGCTTGTAACTCAGGTAGCTCACCTGGGAGGCTGGATAATCACTGGGGAGGGCCAGCTCCTGACCTCCGCAGATCAAACCTGCTCCCAGACCTTCCCCAGCTGGGGAGCAGCCCCTCCCCCGCCTCCTGGCTCCCTGCTCCGTCTGGTCCTCGGGGACCAGGCAGGCGCGGAGCACCCTCCCGCCGACTCATCACTAATTCCATCAAAGGGCGCAGCCCTTCTCTCTGGATCCACCTGCATGGGCGGCCCCCTGGACCCTTCCCCCGACTGAGAACAGCGGGGTTGGGGGGTGACTGCCTCCCCATGGGTCACGCGTGCTAGTCCTGGGCCCTCAGAGCACCTCCAGCACCCCCAGCGCCCCGGCTCCCCAGGGCCACTAAGAGAAAGAGGGTGGCCAGGCTGGCAGCCATCGGCAGCGTCGAGCAGTGTGCGTGGCGGCCGCCAGGCCACCTCCGGGCTGCACCAGGGCGGGACCCAGACCGCCCATAAAAACTGTCACAAAATTAACAGGCAACTGTGAATCCAGACACTCAGCAGGGGAGGGTCGGGGGAGAGATCAAAACAGGGGCCAGAACGTGTCTCACGCACAAGGGCGCAGGGGGGTTGGAGATGGGGGTTCGGGGACCACTCCCGCGAGGGGAAAGCACGCATTGTACAGAAAGGAAGACGATGTAAATACATAAAATAAAAAAATCCATTCTCGTAATCAAGTGAAAGAACAACAGTCTGCGTGGCGGCGGCAACCCCGACCGGGGTTTTGGTGTCTGGTTCCCTGCCCGGTCTCCCTGCCCCAGGCAGCTCCGATCCCACCACCGCTGAGCTGTGGGGGGCCAGGGCCTGGTGTTGGGGGGGGTGCTGGGCGGGCCCTGGGGCGGCCTCGGCAGTGTGGCGCGTCCCAAAGAGCCGCATCCTCTGAGGGCCAGAGCCACCACGAAAGCCACGGGAGTCTGAGCCCAGGGGCCCAGGCGGACCCTGAGCCCCGGACCCTTAGCCCCTCGACGCCTGGCGGGCGAGGGCTGTGGGAGGAGAGAGGGAGGGAGGCGAGCGCTGCCCTGCGCCCTGCACTCCCTGCACGCCCAGTGCCTCTGCGCTCCCGCTCGGGCTGGGGCTGCTGCAAACTTGTTGAAGCACCTCCCAAGTCCTTTCTGCACCGAGTCCAGCAAAAACTAGTTTGGGGCGCAGGTTAACAGCAACAGGGTGGGGCATCTCCCCACCCCCCAGAGGGCCCCAGGAGCAGGCAGGCTGAGAAGAGGCTGGGCAGCAGCTGCAAACCCGGGGGGTCGGGCCCCCATGGTCTCCCAGGACGCCCACCGCCACGGACACCGGAGCCCAGGTGGGAACCTCAGAGCTGGGAGGGGCAGAGATGCCCGGTCAGGGGCTGGCCCTTCCAGCTGCAGCTTGCTGGGGCCCGGCCTGGGGCTCCAGACCTGACCGGAGGGGCTGGGTGGGGGAGCGACTCGGGGTCAGAGCGCTGGAGTTAGGGCAGGCAGATGAGCGCCCACCTGCGGGGAGACCCCCGTGGCGCCTCTCCCGGGCCGTCTGGCGCCACCGGAGGAGCCGGGCCCTTTGCCGCACACCTCGGTTCAGAGAGTCCATCCCACCCTGGAGGGGAGGGGGGGTTACTCGATTCTGTCCCAGAAACGACCCTTTCTGGCCTGGAATGACCTCTGTCCCCAGACCCAGAAGCTTCGGAGCACGCCCCGGCTCCATCTGCACCTCAGGGCTGGGGGCCCGGTCACAGGGGTGGAGGTCAGGGATCAGCCTTCACCCAGAGCCTGTAAGGTGGGCCCTGGCTGAACCCCCAGCTTCCCAGTGACCCAGACAGCCGGTGTGAGGCTGCGCCCCAGTTCTCCACCTGCCTTTGCTGGAGCCCAGTGTTTTGTTTTGGCCAAAAGGGAGTCTGCACATCCCTTCGGGCTGCCGTCTCCACTGGGGGGAGGAAGGGGCAGTGGAGGGGGGCAGTGCCCTGCGGCTTTGTGATCTGCCTTCACCTGCCTGTGGCTTTTGGTTTCCATAGAGGCCCCAGAATTTGGGGAGCACGGTCCCCTCTCTTCCCCTGAGGTCCCGGAGTCTTCCGGGCAAGAAAGGGGCAGAGTGCAGCCCCCACACCACACGGCATGGGGGTGTCCCAGAGGGGGATGGCGCCCATGCAGCCTGCACCTGCGGAGGACCCGCCAGCCACCCCAGAGATCACGCGGCAGCAGAAGCTTCCAGAAAATGTCCCTTTTTATTCCATACGCAAATAAGCAGATTCGTTTAAAAAAAATCTCCGCCTGGAGAACCGCCTGGAGAACCGGATTGGCAGCCGCAGTCCAGGGAGGAGCCCTGCCTGGCCCTCTCTGCATCCCCCAGGGTCCTCCACCCTCCCTCCCAGGAGCGCTCTGCCCGGGTTCTCTCTGCTGGGGACCCTCCTGGAGTCCACCAGGCTGTCACAGTCCTCGGAGGCCGCAGTCCGGGTCCCTGCGCCGTCCATCCCGGAGGGGCATGGTGTCCAGTCCCCTGGCAGCACGCTGGGCAGACTGTGTGTGGCCCGGGCGCTGGGGCCGGCCCGGGTCTGCAGGCCACCACCTCCACCGCGCATCCCCGTGGGGGTCCAGCCTTGCAACCGCTCCGAGCCACAGGCTGAGGTCCCGGCGGCCCTCACAGGGCTGGGCCCTCCAGCTGCTCCCGGTGCCGGTGCCAGGAGGCTGCAGGCGCTCCCAGCCCTGCCCCGGCCCCCAGCGCCCCCCGCGGCCCGCAGAGCTCTCCAGGGCCGGGGCAGCTCACACCAGGCCGGGCATCTGCGCCCGAAGAAAGGGCACGGAGGCGGCCGCGGGGAAGGCGGCCAGCGGGTAGGCGAGCGCCCCGGAGAAGCCCAGCACCGGCGGGGGCGGCGCGGCGGGCGCCAGCGGGAAGGGCAGCGCGGCGGGCGCCCCGGGGGCGGCCGCGGCCGGGGGGCTCTCGTGGTAGAGCACGGGCACGCGCACGAGCCGCTGCGCGCCCGGCGGGGACAGGCTGGCCGCCTCCAGCTCGGCCGCCAGCTGCCGCTTCCACTTGTTGCGGCGGTTCTGGAACCAGATCTTGACCTGCGTCTCGGTGAGCTGCAGGGAGGCGGCCAGGCCGGCGCGCTCGGCGCTGCTCAGGTAGCGCTTCAGGTCGAAGGTGGACTCGAGCTGGAAGACCTGGCTGCGCGAGAAGACCGTGCGCGTCTTCTTCTTGCGGCCGCCGCGCGCCTCCCCGGCCGCCGGGGCCTCCGCCGGCTCCGCCGCCTCCCGCCGCGCCGCCCCGGGCCCGGCGCCCCGCGGCCAGGCCCCTCGGCGCGGCCCAGCGCCTCGCCCGTCTCCGGTGAGTCCCGGTCGCTGGCTGCAGGGGAGACAGGGGCGCACGCTTGGTCCCTTGGCGACGCCCCGCAGTGACGCGCGCCCCACAGCACCTGGAGGTCCCCGCCGCCCGCGGGGACCTGGCCCCTGACACCCTCGGCCGTGCGCGCTGGCAGGGCAGGGGCAGCGCCGGGGAGCCGAGCCTGGCAAGAACGCCCACCCCGGGTGCTCCCTGGCCACACCGCGGCAGAGGGTGGAGAGGCCAGCTCGCAGGCCAGCCCGGCTCAGGCGGCCTCCCTGGCCACGGTGGGCCCCAGGGCGCTGGCAGGAGGGGCCGCCCCCTCAGAGCAGACGGTCAAGAAACTGCAACCAGCACCCCCAACGCAAAAACAAAGACTTGTAGCCGCCTTCCTCCCCACGGCCAGCCCAAGCTGACCAAAGCCGCTGGCTGGGGGAGCGTTCCCTGAGGGCGAGCAAAAGCAGGCGCTCCCCAAGAGCCCCGGCTCCCACCACGCACTCCCGGAGCCCAGGCGGACAGGGGACGGGGCGCGCACCCCGCCCAGGCCCACTCTGGACTTCTGGTTCCACCTGTGGGCTTGGGGTACAGCAGTGCACACGGTGTCCCTGAGTTGATGCTCCAAGAGGGAGCCCCCCCTGGTCCCCAAGAGGAGGGCCCTCTGCCCTGAGGCTGGTAAGGGGCTGCGCTGCGGAACAGGCCGCCAGAGGCCCCTGAAGAGGTGCGGCCAGAGGCCTGCCCAGGAGGTTCGCCCTGACCAGTGGGTCCTCTGCCTTGGCCTGAGCACCCCGCAGAGGCGGGCAGGTCGGAGGGCTGTGGCGGGAGTGCAGTGAGGCCCGCAGAGCCTGCGGAGCCGGATGGGGGGGTTGGGCTGGCTCCCACGTTAGTGTCCACGATCGGCAGGAGCCCTCGCGGGCCGGCAGAGCGACAGGCCGCAGGTTGGCAAGCACCCCCAGCCGTGGGGGCCTCTGCCCGATGCCCGCAGAGGCCCAGGCATTGCCGCCAGGCAGCACAGCGGCTGGCCTGGTCAGGGGCAGAAACCCGCATTGTGCGAAATAAGGAGGAGCCCCGGATTCCTGAGCTACAGAGGGGCTGCAGGTGGGCTGGGGGAGGGGGCCGGGGAGAACAGGTCTTGCCCTTTGCACCCCCTGAAGGACACCCAATTTTATCACTGGATTTCAGAGAAACCACTGGAGTCGATGAAGTTTACAGGAAGCGGGGAACAGGACGGAACAGGACGGACTTGCTGGCCCAGAGCTCTGAGGTGTGGGTCACTCTGCGGGGGGTCATTATAGGGGGGGGAGGGAGTTATCCAAGACCTGGGAGGGGTCCTGCCCCCCTGCACACCCCGACTGGCACACACAGCTGCCGAGACTTCACAGCCAGCGCCTGGGAGAGCCCCGAGCTGGCCTCCCAGGGCCTGTGTTTGGGGGGCTAGCGAAGCCTGGGGTGCTGATGGAAGGCTTCAGGTCTTCCCCCAGGGCCTCCCTCCACGGGGCAGGTGCCCCAGGGACACTGGGAGCAACTCCTGGGGAGCCGTGGACCCGGGTTGGGGTGTCTGGGCAAGAGGGGTGAGTGGGTTGGGGGCTGAGCACCCCCTCTGAGCCTTCTGCGGGGAACAAAGGCTGGAGGGGGAGGGGCGGGAAGGAAGAGGGACTGGGGGCGCCGAAGGGGGGGGTCGCACCTTACAGGCCCCGCTGGCCGCCCCAGAGCCCGGAGGAGGGCCAGGGAGGCCGCGCAGAGAAAGGGCTGGGCCCGGGGGCACCGCTGAGGCGGGAGAGGAGCCCCCTGGGCGCCAACGTCCCTCAGCGGCGGCTTCCCTGCTGGGTGCCCGCCCTGCGCTTTCCGGGGGGCCTGCGCGCCTGCTCCCCGCCCCTCCCCCGCGCCGGCCCGGCCCCGCCGCGCTCCGGCCTCCCGCCGCCTCTCCTTTCTCTGCCGGCGCGGGGCTCCTCTTGGGGTCCCCCAGCCTCCCTCTGCCGGCAGAGCCCGGGCCCCCAGACGCCGCCTCCCCGCCCGCCCGCCCGCCCGCCCGGCCGGGCCCCGCAGCCGGTCCCCGACGCCGCGCGCGGAGCAGGCCGGCCGGGCCCCCGCACTCACGGTCAGGGCTGGGGCCGCCTCCGGGGCCGCCGGGCGCCCGCCGGAACCAGCGCGTCGCGCCGCCGCCCAGGGCGGGGGGCGGCCCGGGGCCGGGGGGCGGCGGGGGCCGGGGCCCGGCGCGCCCGGCCCGAGCAGCGCCCCCGCCTCCCCGCCGGGCCCCGCGCGCGCACGAGGCTGCGGCCGCCGCCGCGCGGGCTCCGCGTCCTCGTCCTCGGGGTCGCCGTCGGCCTCCGGGTCCTCGCGGCCGCCGCAGCCCCGGGCCGCGCGCGCGCGCCCCCGGCCCCGGCCCCGGCCCCGGCCCCGGCCCCGCCCGGCCCCGGCCCCGGCCCCGGCCCCGGCCCCGGCCGCCAGCAGGTTCTCGATGAGGAAGGAGGAGGCGCGCGCCGGCGTGGCGCGCCCGGGCTCCGTCAGCTCGTCCGGCATCGCGGCCGCGGGCCCGTCGGGGTCTCCGCTCTGGGGTCCGGCGCCCGGGCGCGGCCGGCGCGGGGCCGCGGGGGCTGGACCCGCGGGGGCCCGGGGCGCGGGCGGGGCGGGCGCGGACTCCGAGCGCCGGCCGGGCCGCTGGTGCCGCTCTCGCCGCCGCTCTGGTCGCCGCCCGGCCGGGCCGCGGGGGGCGGGCGGGGGGCGGGGCGCGGGGCGGGGCCGGCGGGCGGGGGGCGGCGGGGCCCGGGGCGGCGGAGGGGGACTCGCCGCCCGGACCCCGCGCGCAGTCGGTCGCGCGGCCGAGGACGGCGGCCGCGGCCGGGCTGGGGGGCGCGGCCGACCCCGCCGCCCGGGGGCCTCTCCGGGGCCGGGGCTCGCGCGGGCGGGGCGGGGCTCCCCGGCTGCGCGCATTGGCCGCGGGCCCCGGGCCGGGCTGGCCCATCGCGGCCGGCCGAGACCCGCCCGCCTCGCCGCGGGGAGCGCGTGGGGCCGCGCGGGAGCAGCCGCGCGCGCCAGGGTGTGCTTATGTGCCGTGTGCACGCGCGTGTGCGCGTGTGCAGGGCGGGCGCGTGTGCAGCGCGGGCGTGAAGGCCCGAGGCGTCCGGGCAGCCGCGAGAGGCCGGGCGGGTCTTTGAAGGACCCCGGGGTCCGGGCGGCAAAGTCGCCGGCTCTTGTCCGCGCGCGCCCTGAAACGCGCTCTCCAGGCCGGCGCGGGGCGCCGAGCCCTCCGGCCCCCCCCCCCCCCCGTCGGTGCCAGAGTAAGGAAATGCACCCCAGCCCCCGCCTGCCCGCGAGGCGGCCGAGGTCCCCCAGGAGGGCGCCCCGGGACCCGGGCAGTGGGGCGGGGGCGGCTGCGCGGCTGCGGGGTCCCGGGGTCAGGGCCCGCCCCTCTGCGCCCCCACTTCTGCTCCTGGAGCCGGGAGCCGGGAGGCCGGTAACGAAAGCGCATTCGGCGACCCGGACGGCCGGATCCCCGCGGTCGGCGCGCGGCGGGGGAGAAGCCGGCTTCACCCGAGCGCGTTTTCTCGGAGACGCATCCAGCCCCCAGCCCAGCCAGCGCCCAGCGCCCCCCGCCACCGGCGCCCAGCCCCCCCACCAGCGCCCAGCCCCGCGAGCGCCCTGCACCCCCCCAGCGCCCTGCACCCCCCCAGCGCCCAGCCCCCCCCAGCGCCCAGACCCCCCCCAGCGCCCAGACCCCCCCCAGCGCCCAGCCCCGGGAGCGCCCTGCACCCCCCTAGCGCCCTGTCCCCCCCCAGCGCCCAGCCCCCCCCAGCGCCCAGCCCCGCGAGCGCCCTGCACCCCCCCAGCGCCCAGCCCCCCCCCAGCGCCCTGCCCCCGGGCGCCGCGCGAGTCCCAGGCCCCGCCGCGCTTCGCTTCGGGACGCCGTGGCGGGCAGAGGCACCTCCACTTTCCCGAGCCGAGGCTGAGGCGAGGCGAGGCGATGCCAGGCCTGGCGCCCCAGTCCCGGGCACGGCCGCAGGGCGCGCGCCCGCACCGCGAGGCCGACCTGGGGCGCGAGGGCGAGGCCTGGAGGCCGGCGGGCGGGTCCGGCGGGAGGGACCCCAGCCCCGGGCAGCCGGGGAGCGCGCGCCGTCCTCCCGGCGGCCCGGCCCGCCACCCTCCCCGCTGGGGGGGACCTTGGGGGCCGCGGGGGCCACCCCGGGGAGAGGCCGTTCCCCGACCCGGGGCGACTCCCCGCCCTCCCCGCGCGAGCCCAGGGAGCCGCCGGCCCGGGGACGGCTGTGGTCTCCCGAGTGCCCCGCGCTGCCCAGGGCAGAGAGGCCCGGCCGCCGGCTCCGCGCGACGGGAAGAGCCGGGGGCTTTGAGAGAAGCGCAGCCCGCCCTGCGGTGTGGACAGGGGCGCGGGACCCAGGAGGCGCCTGCACACACGCTGCCCCCCACCTTCCAGGCCCCCGCCTGCCCCCAGGGCTGCCCGAGCCCCTCAGCTGTTTCTCCAGCCACCGCACAGAGGTCCCCATTTTTCAGAGCACCCTCAGAGGGGGCGTCCCACGGTCTGGGTTCTAATCCCCTCCAGGCTGTGCGGCCTGGGCCGCCTCCCCACCCGTCTGGCCCAGAGTCCAGTGCTGGAGACTGGCGGAGTGAGCGCAAGGGGCGGACCTGCCGGGAGAACGGTGGCCCTGGCACTGGGTGGCCGCCTGGCCTCCCCACTGCCCGGCGGCTGCCCTGGAGAGCAGAGCCCTGCAGGCTCCAGGGACCCGCAGCCAGAGCAGGCCTTCCTCCCCCCGCCCCTCGTTCTGGGCACAGCCCCCCGCCCCAGGCTCAGCAGTGGTCAGGGCACCCCAACACTGCCTGCACTGCTGGCCCCTCCACACCCCCTGAAGTCGTGTTGCCTGCGCTGGGGCGAGCTGCTGGGGCTCTGGTGAGCTGGCAGAGCTCACTGCTGGGGCGCAGGGACAGTTAGGGAGCCCGGAGCCCACGCTCGCTAAGGCGCCTTTGCACACGGACGCTGGCTGCTGGCCATGGGGGTCGTGACATAGGCGCTGACCTCAGCCCCTGGCAGCCTCAAATCGTGACTGTTTTGAACCCCAGACGCTGTTCTTGGGCAACCAGGACCCCCTGGAGATGCATCCTGGGCGGCCCAGCCCGGGGACCTGCTCTCGCCCTTCTCTGAGGGGCCACCTCATCCTGTGCTGTCTCCACCCCCCCCCACGCCCAGCCACAGTGGGCCTTGCTTCCCCGTTTACTCTGTCCCCCCAGCTCCACCTCCCCCGTGCAGGGGCCCCCTTCAAGCCCCTGAAAACACCCCTGAAGGACACCAGTGCCCTCCTGACTGCATGGGTGGCCCCAGAGCGGCAACCCCAGAGCGGGGACCCCGAGCAGGGAGCAGGCTGGGCTGCTGCTCTGGCCCCCGTCCCGTTGCTCTGGTGACGGGTGTCCCTGCCCAGGCTCCTGTCTCCCGTGTTCTCGCTTCCTCTGCCCTTGTCCCACTCCCAGGCGGTGACCACCCCAAGATCCACCAGGGTCCTCCAGCTGCCCCACCTCGCTCCCCGCTGCGTGCTCCCTGCTGGGTGGGGACGCTAGTCTCCCCCAGTGGGGACACCGCCTGGGGCGCCCCTCTGAGGGCACCTTGACTTTCCACCTGGGGGCTGATGCTGGCTGGGCTGAGGGACCCCCCAGGGGGCTTCTCCCTGGATCTGGGCCTCGGCACCACACTGGTCCCCACAACGAGTGGGGGGGCTGGGACCCTGCAGCGTGGCTCCCCTCTCTGCTCGGGCTTGGAGCACCCCAGCCCGTGGGGCTCGGGGTCAGGTGGCAGCCTGACACCCCCGACGCCGAGGGGCCCTGGCTCCTGCAGGATGGGCAGGCCCGTCCGTCTTTCTCCGGGGCAGCGCACAGGCGTCTGCCTGGGAAGGCTCCGGACCGCGGGCGGGCGCCGAGGGGACAGGGGACAGGGGACAGCCCTTCCGCCTCCTCCCCACCTGGCTCCCCGCAGTCCCGGGCCGGGGAGGGGGAGGGAGGGCGCCGGGGGAGGGGCGGGGGGGGGGGAGGTTCCTGGAAGGAGCGGA